CTGGGTTTGGAGGATGTCCAAGCAAACCGAACCCAGACCAGTTCACTCATCACTATTGGTGAGAGCTTTGAGTTAGGTTCTCAGGTATACAGTACATACCAGCTGTGGCCATTATGAGGGGTTCCCACTCTCCACGATGGATTTTTATCTATTTGATATTATGGAGAATGTAACAGGAGGAGATGGAACATGGAAAAGGGTTCAAGAACACCTAAAACTCTCAGGTGGACAAGAACAGAATCAGGATTTATGGCTGGGAGATCTCACCATTGGAATATCCAAGACAAATGAAGTCAGGTGCTGACTCGGCCCACCAGGCTAACATAATAATACTTCTGGGTGGATTGATCCTTTAAAGTGACATTAAAGTCAAAAAATGACGTCCCCCCCATTGCTGCTTTAAGAACTTACCTTAAATGATGCCTCATGATCCAATCAACTTATTCTTTCCACTTGTTTTCAGGAGTCCCTCCAGCGCTGGTGCCGGTCTCTGATCCAGCGCTGACTGCTGTATCTTCCTGTCCCATGGTGTCTGTCCGCGTGCACATGGCAAGTGACTTACCCTGTGTCTCTCCTCTTCTCCCGGCCGAAGCTCTCTACTGCGCATGTGCCCGTCCCATGATCCTTCACGGCCGCTCGAGAATCTTCAGATCATCGGACGGGAGCGCGCGGCGGAGACACAGGTAACTTTTTAATTTATTTTTGGGGTTTTTTGCATATATCTACTGCTTGCTATTAATGAAGGTTTAATTCTACTTTAAAAACATTTTCAAGAATACATAACTATTTTTTTTTTTAAACCTGCATGAAGGCCTACTTTAAAACATCATCCCAGCCTCATTATTATTATTATACAGGATTTATATAACGCCAACAGTTTGCGCAGCGCTTTACAATATAAGGAAGACATTACAATCACAATACAATTCAAGACAAGATAGTAAGGAGGGCCCTGCCCCTGGGGGCTTACAATCTAAAAGTTATCAGACCGGAAACCTTTCTCTTTGGAGCCCTGGTGTCCATTTAGAATGAAGACCACAAGCAATGTAAAGTGATTATAGGGATAGAGATTCATGGAAGTGTTAAACAATGGACGGTCACAATTTTGCATCTAACACTGTTGTACAGAGGGCCATATTGGATACATTTGTTGAAACGTTAGAAGGAAGAGTGAAACAGGACCATATCATACTCCCCTCATGGTATTATGTCAGCCAGAGATGTGTGTATGTAATCTTGCTGTGTTGGTTTTCCACCCTCCGCCCATGCTTTTTCTTCCCTTGTCTGCAGATGTTGGCTGTGTGCTCCTCATAGATCAACTGTTGCCCTGACACTGTCAAACGGTCAGGCTCGTAGCTCCGGGGTACCTATAAAAAAAAACTAAAGACATTACAGTGACAGTTGGCGGAACCTACAGCTTCTGCCTCCTTCCTTTCCTTCCTACCTGTCACTCTCTTGACATGAAAAGCTGCTTTATGTCTAATTTGTTGTTAGTGGTTTGAAGCTTGAGGTGCGGTGACTATGCTTTGGTTTAGTATTGGAATATTAGCAGTTGTTAATTCAGACACCTCAACTCTCCTGGACGCTTTGGGATATGATAGAGGCTCCTGGACACCCAGGAGAGAAACATTTTCTCCCGGAAAGGTTTACTCTGCTCAACCTAGCAGAGTAAACCTTTCCCTGCTATGTGTTTTTTTTTTTTACATCGGAGTCAGGAAAAGAGGGAAAAAAAAGGGATAAGAATGAATAGTTAGATTGCTATTGGCTATTTCAATTTGCAATAGCCAATAGCAGACTAGCTATTGCACCCGTCCACTGCTGCTGTCAATCAGCAGAGGTGGACCAGAAGTTCTCCATCAGGTCCTCTTCTGCTGCTGACTGACAGCAGCAGAGGGCGGGTGCAATAGCCAGCTTGCTATTGGCTATTGCAAATTGAAATAGCCAATAGCAATCTAGCTGTTCATTCCTAGACTGTTTTTTTTTTTATTATGACGGCAGCAGCTGTCAGAATACTAAAAAAAACCAGCAGATAGAACGGGAAGCATTAGCTTCTTTGCTATCTGCCATCACTTCAGGGGGTGCTCTCTTCCTTGTTATTGCCCCCCCAGCGAATGGAGGGGCGCGGGGGGGGGGACACAGAGGGAACCTCCCTGAAATGACTTATTTCAGGTTGGGATCCCTGTTAATTGAACCTCTTTCTCCAGTGGGAATCAGGCCTCTAAGACATTGGCTCCCTGATCATGTGATCACTGTGACTGGCTGCCGCAGTTATCACATGATCGGGAACCCGTCCTCCTGCCCGTCACTGTGTGACCGGAAGACGACAGTGCTGGGATTTCCCATTACTGTGTATTATGAGGATCCACCTTAACTTTTGAATCAATCTGTATCCAATCAGGCCGGACCTCACACTACATACTTGTTGGCAGATCTAAAGGAGACTGTACAATCAGATTGCAATGTGTGTGGTGAGCTTTAGCCTGCGGCATAGTGCCTTGTGATGTGAATGGACCCTACTAGATGTATAAACACCTAAAGCTAGCCATACACAGAGCAAATTTCAGCCGACCATCGATGAGCTGGACAAAATTGGCCCTGAGGGTGACCCTGTCGGCATCTTCCTACCTGACATCCTCCTCGAAGGAGCCGGGTGGAAAATTATCAGCCCAATCATGATTGCAACCAATCAGCTGCAGTCATTGTCCGGGCATTCTGACAGCGGCTCCTCGGCCACCATAAAAATACAATAGATCAGCAGGACGCTTGTGAAATGCTAACCAAAAAAAAATCTAAAGCTGTCTAACCAGCTTAAAGTGAACTGGAGCCAACACTTTTATTTTAGTTTGGGATAAAGTAAAGGAGGTTTATCAGCTTTTTTTGTCATCTGTGTCCCCTTGGGGAGATATCCCTTCACTTCCTGTCCGATAACCACAACAAGAAGTGAGAGGAAATCCCTCCAAGAGAGGCAAAACGCTGGTGGTCAGCAGAACTAGTGTCCCCATTGGAAGATTTCCAATAAATTCCTGCTCTGACGACAAGCCAAAATGTGGGATTTTTCTTTGCTTTCAGTGATCACGGTCACCAGGACAAATAGAAAGGGTGAATCTCCCGAACCAGGATATATACATCAATAAAAACCTGGCAGGGGTTCTAATTCCCCTCCACTCTATACAAAACGAAACATACAAAAAAAAAGATTTGGCTTCAGTTGCACTTTAAGTAGAAGATGATTCTGAAAATCTGGTTTATGCTACGTGCACACGGCCAAATAAATGTACTGATCATAAACAGACGCAAAATGCATGTGTAGATATGTATGCGTTTAAATGTATCATTCCCGGTCCATTCCTGCAGCTTCATTTTCAATGTAATGCGTTTTTTTTTTGTTTAGACGCAGATGCAGATTTTTTAAATTTTTTGGTACGGATTTAAATGCAGCGTGTTTTTTCCCAAAGGTATATGGGTGCCAAAGTATATGGGTGCCAAAGTATATGGGTGCAGCACATTTTGTTCAAGGTATATGAACACAGTACATATTTTATTAAGGTAATTGAACACAACGCATTTTTTTAGGTATATGAACACTACACATTTTTTAGACATATATGAACACAGTGCATCCCCCCCCCCTTTTTTTTTTTAAAGGTATAGAAACATAGCACATTTCTTTTAAAGGTATATGAACACCGTGCATGCTTTATTAAGGTATATGAACGCAATGCATTTCTTTAGGTATATGAACGCAGCACGTTTTGTTTTAGGTATAGAAACGTAGCACATTTTTTTTAAAGGTATATGAACACAGCACATTTTTTTTAAGGTAGGTGATCACTGCGTATTTTTTTTAGACTTATACTGTATAAACACAGCTAATTTTTTTTTTTGTTTAAAGTATATGTACTCTGTAAGTTTTATTAAGGTATATGAACGCAACGCATTTTTTTAGGTATACGAATGCAGCACGTTTTGTTTTAGGTATATGCACACTACACATTTTGTTAGACATATACTGTATAAACACAATTCATTTTTTTTTTTTTTGGTATATGATGACAGAAGACATATATGAACACAGCTCATTGTTTTTTTTTTATGTTTATGAACGCAGTGTTTTTTTTTGTTTTTTTAAAGATATATAAACGTAGCACATTTTTAGAAAAAGGTATATGAACGCAGTGCATTTTTTGTTAAAGGTAAATGAACTCATCCCATGTAGTAGTATACAAACAGACACTGTTCAGACACTACTACATTCCAAGGTGGAGACGCACCTATTAGATCAGCACCATGGTGGCTAAGGATTTGGACCAGTGAGATTTCTTTTAACTCCTTGGTTATACATCTGTGTGCATGTACCCGTGACACCTCTGTTCAGATGTATATGGAAAAAAAAAGCACATAGTTTTTGTTCTGGCCATGCACACGCAGCCTAAACTGGACTCGACTGGTGTGGGAAGGGCAATTACATGGTAAACTCCTCCAGCAGTTGGTTTCATGATATGACTGGTTCAGTGTTTATATATTGTATATACTTGTACCATATACACCTGGAAAATAGTTTATTTTATATACAATATTCCAATATTTTGCTGTATATCCCAGCTGGACACTGCCGTGAGGGAGACTTTTCCTTATGGGTTATATTACATACAGTATATAAATAATATTGAAGTGCTCATGAAATATAACCGACAGCTGCTGCAGGTCTGTACATTCCAGACACAGAATTAGCACTTTGAATGAAATTCGGTGGCAGTTGTGTATTTTTAATTCTTGCACATTTTTCATTGAAGTCCTCTTTCCATGGAAGTGTAGTAAAACTTTAGGAATCCTTGTCACTCCCCCGACAAGTCAAGCCTGTTTACTAGCAGGAATGTTCTATTGTGTACACAAGCAGTTATGCGGGTCCCTGGTACAGACAGGAATGCAAGCCCGCCCCCCTGTGTTGGCTATATAAGACCAGGGCAGAGGGGCCAGAGACTAGCTCACCCTCTTGCACACTTCATACTTCGTCACTGCATCCCCGCTGGAAAATGATGAGCTTCTCCGCCCGCAGTATCAACCAGTCTGGCCACTTTGGTGGTGGTAGAGCCGGCGTATCCAGGGCACGCAGCGTGGCAGGAGGCGCCGCCAGCGTGAGCATGTCCTCTACCAGCTTCAACATGGCAGCCCCTGCGTTTGGCGCCGGATTCGCAGCCCAACAAGCCAGCAATTTCGCCGCCAGTGGCAAGGAGACCATGCAGAACCTGAACGACCGCCTGGGTTCTTATTTGGAACGGGTAATGACAACCATACTCAACATAAGTTGGACTTTTCCAACCTTAAATACTATGTGACTGTTAATATATTTATAACAATGCCACCGAGCTTCCAATACAAGTCATTTATTACATGCGTCACTTTCCAGATATCAGTTATAGCTGATGAGTGTGGCATTAAGCCCAGGGCTATACTGAGAAGGGAGTGATTTGTAGTCCAGGTCAGTAGAGTAGCCTAGGGTGACTATGCTGCTCCCCCATAGGTGCAGTAAGTGTGGTCACCCTGGGACAGGAAATGTGTTACTGGTAGGATCATCAGTAGAGTAGCCTAGGGTGACTATGCTGCACCCCCATAGGTGCAGTGAGTGTGGTCACCCTGGGACAGGAAATGTGTTACTGGTAGGATCATCAGTAGAGTAGCCTAGGGTGACTATGCTGCTCCTCCATAGGTGCAGTAAGTGAGTGTGGTCACCCTGGGACAGGAAATGTGTTACTGGTAGGATCACCAGGGTAAAAATAAAAGAAAACAAATGCAGCCACCGTATCTAACGACTGGTAAGCTGCAATATATTACAGTTTGGTTTCTGGGGTTTACATATACTTGAAATCTCTTTGCTACTGAGGACTTTAAATGATTGTTGACGAGTGTCTTATTGGTTAGAGCCACATTGAATTCAATCAGTTGAGTGCCAACACATTGTATCTCTCTGCAGCAAAGAGATTGTATCTAAAGGCAATAACAATGTTATCGTTATGTACTAAGGCAAAGATCAAAGCTCAGTAACTCTCTCCAATCAGTTCAGTGTACTAGTCACTGCCGGGTGAATTGATAAACAATTTGCAAAGCCGTTCATTCTGTGAAAGTTCATTCTGTGTGTTTGAAGGCAAAAATTAATGTCATTACTATATTTTCTAGGGATGCACCGATACCGATACTAGTATTGGTGCCGATACCGAGTATTTGGGCGGGTACTCGTACTCGCCCAAATGCTACGATAATTACCCTGATACGAGAACTTCCAGTCAGAGGGAAATATCTCTCTGACCGGCAGTGCTGAGGGAGCATGGAGCCGGCTTCCTTTCCAATCAGGAAGCTGGGCGGTGGCTTATGACCCGCCTCCCGGCTTCCTGATTGGCTAGGAAGCTGGCTTTCCTTGTTGCTAAGCAGCCTGGCTTCCTAAACAATCAGGAAGCCAGGCTGCCTAGGAACAAGTAAAGGCGGCTTCATAGCCAATCAGGAAGGCGGGAGGCGAGTCCTGATTGGCTAGGAAGCCAGGCAGCTTCGACAAGTAAAGCCGGTGTTCAGCCAGCTTCGCTTTGTTGGTAGGCAGCCTGGCTTCCTGACCAATCAGGAAGCCGGGCAGCACGTCATGACACACTGCCCAGCTTCCTGATCGGTCAGGAAGCCAGGCAGCCTTGACAAGTGAAGCCGGTGTTCTTTCACTAGAAAGCCGGCTTCACAGGCAATCAGGAAGCCGGGCGACGGGTCATGATCCGTTGACCGACTTCCTGATAATCGGGTCACTGGTGCTCAGTACTCGGTATTGGTGAGCACCGGAAAAAAAATATTGTACTCGATGCCAAAAAAACGGTATCGGTGCATCCCTAATATTTTCTTTTCCAGTCGAATGTAATATTAGGAAAATGCCACATTATGACCACTAGATGAAGCTGAGTTGTATAAGAAATAAATACACATTTTCTATGGTCTTCAGCTCCATCTAGTGGCCATATTGTGGTATTATTGTGAGATTACATTTGACTTAGAAAGGACATATACTAAGAATGTTTGTTTTTTCCCCATTGGCACGGAGGTTTCTGGGAGTTTTGCTGGATGAGTGACTCTGTGAATTGTTTATGAATACGCCCCTGTGTGATGTGATGCTCTGGGATGCTGCCCTTTGATTTTGTATTGCCAAATGGACTGAACCCCCATCCTAGTGTTTACAGCGACATCACATATACCACATTACAGAGAGTGATGCAAGATGGGATGCTGACAGTATAATATTGTGTCTCCTCAGGTCCGATGTCTGGAGAAAGCGAACAGCGATCTGGAAGTGAAAATCCGTGAGTTCTATGAGAGAAAGTCTGCCATCAGCGCTTTCGACCCAAGCGGATATTATGACACCATCAGCAAGCTGCGCTCCCAGGTGAGTGACCTCTCCTTTAGTAATTGACATTTTAATATTGATGAGAGAGATTGATTCTGAACCTATTTAGATTCCTTTTTAGGGCAGGTTCACATGATTTTCTGGACCAGATCTGGAACGCAGTGCATTGCGTTTTTGCTGCGTTTTTACCGTGTGTGGATTTTTTTTGTTTTTAGCTTAAAATGGTCTTACAGGTGCGTTCCATGCGTTTTTGATGTGTTCCAGTGCATTCCAGACCAGACAAAATAGGACAAGCAGTTTTTATCTGGTCTGGTCTGGAACTGACTGCGCTGGTGGGAACAGAGGGCAGAAATAGCATAGGGATACATTAGGATGCATTTTGGGTCCAGAAACAGTCTGGTCTGGAGATGATCCGGATGTGGCATGAATGGGCCCTTAGAGTAAATATTATTTTAGTTATAGATGGAGCTTGTCAGCCCCTGGCTTCTTATATGACTCGGATACCCCAACAGTGACATCTCCATGCCATAAATAATTCCCAGCTCATGTTCTCCATAATATAAAATATAAAAGCCAACAGGGATGGCGGGAACTCCTCATAATGGGCACTGCAAATGTGCTGACCCACCAACTCAGTATGGCAGCAACATGACCATTCTGCTGCTATACCCATCCTGGTCACATTTCATTGTTCAGCTGCATACAGCTAACCCTGAAGACTGTGCCATTCCGGAGTCCTTTAAACCACATATGATATATAAACCCTGAAGAAGGTAAAGCGATTCGAGCCCCTGAAACGCGCTGGCTGTTTTCTTGCTATAAATCAACATGAGTATTAAAAGATTTTGGACTCTTTGATCCTTAGTCTGGTGCATCTGAAGTATACATCGAAGGGTTCATTACTGAATTTACTGTACAGGGATTCAATGCACATCTAGAGGCATGCTGGGAATGGCAGACCTCATACAATAGCCTCCATGTAACTTGACCTCGGGTTCTGTGAGCGAAGCAGGGAGCCCATTAGAGCCGCAGCGGGATAAGGATTCATTAAAGACATTCTGACCATAAACTGTACTCATCGGGGAGAATTTAACATTAGATGTGACAATTATAGGAAATTGACGATGACTGCAGATTTAAGTGATTAATAATAATAATGATGATGATGATAATAATAATATCAACTTTTAGTTGCAAACAGCTTGTATGGCAGTTTTATTAATCTAAAAACATAGCTGTATTGTATGTCAACTTATGTTTTAGATGCAGTAGCCTTTAAAAGTTTAAACCAGCTGTAAAACGACATAAAACCACTAGAGGGCACTAGAGCAGCATTCCTAAAAATGGCTTTTCTTGTTCTTGTATTATGCGCATGCCATCGTTACAATGTAAATAAAAACAAACATTTTACATAAAGAAACATAAAGTCCTTTTGTATCTATTTAGGCTCGTTCACAATATTTATCTTCTTATCCTGCAGATCCAAGGAGCCACCATTGAAAATGCCAGGCATCTGCTGCAGATCGACAATGCCAAGCTGGCTGCTGATGACTTCAAGATGAAGTAAGTGATCACATAAGATGCTGGACTCTGTGCGTGTATGTGTGTATGTATGTATGTATGTGTATGTGTGTATATATATATATATATATATATATACAAACATACAGTTGTAATCACAATTATTCAACCCCCAGTGCAAATCAGGTTTATTGGTAACATTTAACATTTACAAACTTGAAGCTGTTTGCAATGATCAAATTAAACAAAAGCAATTGCAATAGGTCAACACAACAAATGTTTCAAGTGGTTTCTCCAAATTCAACTGAGAATGCAACTTTTAGGCCTGGTTCACACCTGTACGTTTTGTAGCGCGTTCTACGCTCTACAAAACGCTCAAGCATGAAAATCCCATTGTTTTCTATGGGTATGGTTCACACCTTGCCGTGTTTCAGCCCGTCTGAACGCGCTACAAAACGGCCTACGCCTGAAAAGGTACAGGAGCTTCTTTGCGGCGTTTTTGTCGCACATTTCCATTGGGATACAGCCAAGTAGCCCTCGGAAACGTGCGTTTGTCGCATGTGTTTTTTTTACTGCAAATCACGGCAAAAACGCGCGACAAACGCGCATATTCGATATGCCTAGGTGTGAACAGAGACTAAATGACTTCTGCACTCTCAAAATGATTCCACCCCCTGAATAGAATCCCTCACAAGAGCACACATCTGCAGAACAGCTGTTGTCTGAAGCACACCTGATGCAACTAATCAAAGGCTTCATTAACTGCACCAGGTGTGTCTCTAGGGATAAAGAAAGGTCACAATATGAAACACTTTGAGGGGAATTTATCAACACTGGAGCAGACAAAATCTGGAGCAGCTGTGCATGGCAACCAATCAGCTTCTAGCTTTCATTTTCAAATCTCTCTCTCTCCTTTCTCTCTCTCTCCTTTCTCCTCTCTCTCTCCTCTATCTCTGTTCTCTCCCTTCTCTCTCTCTCTCTCTCTCCTTTCTCTCCCCCCCTCTTCTTTCTCTCTCTCCGCCGAAACGGAACTCTGTTCCGCTTGTTTTTCCAGACCTGGCCAGAGTCGGGGTTAGTCAGATGGAAATGGATGCACGTATGCTTAGACCCGGCTGCCCATAGACTAACGTTGGGCTTCTGATCAGATCTGCCTTAAAAACTGGTAGGCAGACCTAGTCGGAATATCTGTGTGGAAGTGGCCTTTCTTTCTCTCTCTCTTTCCCTTTCTCTCTCTCTTTACAACCCTCTCTTTTTTCCCTGTGTCTTTCTATTTCTTTCCTGTCTCTCTTTCCCCCCTTTCTGTTTCTTTCCCTTGTTATCTCTCTCTCTCTCTCTTTCTCTCTCTCTCTCTCTTTCTCTCTCTATTTCTCTCACTTTTCTCCCTCTGTCCTTTTCTCCCTCTCCTCTCTCTATTTCCCTTTATCTTTCTATTTTTCTCTTAAATTTTTCCTTTATTATTTCTATTCAACCAAAATCCAGTCTAAGTAACGGAAGGCCCTCCATAGGTCTGTGCCCAAAATTCAACATGAAACATGATTGATTTTGTCTGGATGGTGGATTGAATTCTTGATTGATTGTTTGTCAATCATTACACGTATGGGCTACATTAATCTACCAGTATGTTTTTTGGGTTGTAAGAGGAAAACCGAGCACCTGCTGGAAAGCCACATAGACACAGGGAGATTGCAGTGTGTATTGCAGTTGGGAGCCGGCATTGTATACAGCACACATGTAGGGTTAGGAGGACTTGATACAAGAGTAGATACCTGAAATAAATGTACTCTGTCACCACCTGCAGGTATGAAGCAGAACTGGCCATCAGGCAAGGAGTGGAGTGTGACATTGGTGGACTGCGCAAAGCCCTGGATGAGCTGACCATCAACAGATCTGACCTGGAGCTAGAGATTGAGGGTCTGAAGGAGGAGCTAATCTACCTGAAGAAGAATCACGAGGAGGTAAGCTTATGAGTATTATTATTATTAATGCAAAAGATAGAGAATTTGTGTAGCTGTGAACCTTGTATAATTTATTGCCATTTAAGTGTTCTTTATGGGTTCAAGATGTGCTTTGTATTAAGACACTAGGCCATTTTCACACAGGCATCCTCCATTAAGTATAAGCAGCGCCTGTATGTGTTTGCCTTGACTTTAGCCAGGGGACAAAGCGAGGGGCAGAGAAAGCATAGCACAACGCTAAAGAAGGGCAAGTGTGCTGTGCAGATTTGCGCATTATGGTAAAAACCCACCTAGCACACAGAGGTTTATTTCCACTATAAAGAGACCCTGTCATTAAAATAGTAATTAAAAGGTAACCTGGAGGTAACTGAAACTTGGGTGAGGATCAAAGTGGATCCTGTTGAGATGCAATTTATGTTATGTCAAGTTGTGACAGACCTTATTGAGAGATCTGCCCATCTGCACTCACACAAAGGCCTAAATCATACCCCAAGTATTAATACATATAAAATAAAGCAAGGAGTGGCCAGTCTTCTAGGTTAATTTATATTTGTTTGCTATTCACCCCCAAAAGATATACAGTATATATATAGATCTATATCTATATCTTATCCCCTTCCTTGAAGCAATCAGCCTTTTGTATGAAAGTTTTGGTACGCTCAGGACAGTGCAAACACTGACCCATAAGTGGAGCGGCTTATGACACATGATTCTTGTGAACAGCACTATAGAGCTCCATTATGGTAGCCTCTGGCCACTATAGGGGGTTCAGTGCTGCATCATGCCCTCAAGTGCACAGAGGAGTGGCAGAAGTCATACATGACCCACAATAAGCTCATACCTAATAGCGGGACTACTAGCTACATGTTGCAAGGCTAAAATGATAAACAGTAAAGAAAATACAGCGTTCCAGTATATTATTCTTGCTGTGTTCTTACCACCTTCCTTTATGTTTCAGGAGCTTGCTGTTTCCCAGGGACGAATTGGAGGACAGGTTAATGTTGAAATGGATTCCACTCCACAAGTTGACTTGTCCAAGGTGCTTGCAGGAGTCAGGGATCAATATGAGCAAATGATGGAGAAGAATCGCCAAGAGGTCGAGACCTGGCACAGAGGACAGGTATGCGGCAAGGGCAGTTATTTGGTTGAAATAACTCTTAAGAATCTCAAAGTTGACGTATAGCAACAATCATTTTTGATGTTTTGGATGGGGGAAGGGTTGGTAGATCTGCCTGGCTTTTTTGATGTCTGTGTTCTTGCTGGATAGATCCACTCTCTTTGTCTTAGTAACCGTTGTCAATGAGACAGAAAGTGATGGGAAATTCAATATTATGAGTTGTCACTAAAACTGAAGATGGTTGAAAATCTTCCAATGGGGCAACCATTCCAGTGACCACCATCTAAGATGGCATTTCCTCCTCACTATAGAGAGTTCTCTCACTTTCTGTTGCATCTCTGGGATATATAGATACACTTTGGGGTGTCTAAAGCAGCATTTTTCACCCTTTTTTCTGTCACAGCACCCTATAGAAGTATGCAAAATCTCAAGGCACCCCAGTCTAAAATGTAAAAAACATAAATGTAAAAAATGATGTTGGGTTCCTCCATAAATCTATACTAGACCATTATGCTAGATAGGGATCTGGCATAGATATTGAGGGGAAGCCCATGCAAAGAATAAAAAAAAACCCACTGAGATCCCCCTTCACATCAGAAGCCATGAGGAGCCCCTTCCCACCTGAGTTCCTTTTTTTCACATCAGAAGCCCCCTTCACATGAGAGTCTTTAGACCGCCTCAACCTACTTTTCTAATCTGGTTCTGGCAGAGGGCGGAAGGCAGAGCAGGCCTGGAGGGAGAAAAACTTCTGTCCTTTTCTGAATGCTGGGGGCAGTCCTGGATGCAGCCCGTCCTGGATTAGCAACATGTGTCCCCATGGTGCTGGTGGCTGGCTCGCCTGCACCATGGAAATGCATGGCACTGTGTGAAAATTTGAAGGCACCACTAACAAAAAAGATAAAGGTACCACAGGGTGCTGCGGCAAACTGGTTGAGAATGACTGGTCTACACTTATAAGCCTTTTGTGGACCAATTTTCTGATAACTGGGCCTTATGTGTGTTGAGTCAGCTTCCCTACCTGATAAAAAAATCTTCCTGGATGAAAATGTATTTGAATAATGTTTACATCTACCTGTGCTTGTAGATTGATCACTTCTATTGTTTCCAAGGATTACTAATCCACTCCTGAGCTTACAAAATCCTCATTCTTATTCCACAGAGTGAAAACCTCCGCCAGGAAGTTGCATTAGGCCAACAAAGCTTCCAGGTTAACAAATCTGAGGTCACAGACCTGAGACGCACATCACAGACCCTAGAGCTGGAGCTGCAGTCCCTCCTTAACATGGTGAGTGTTCCGGTCTCTTCATCTCCTGTCGTAGGGAGGTGTACACATAGGCCTATTCACTACTCCATTTCCAGCAATAGTATGTGCAGGTTCAACATGTGTCTACTACATGCTACTTGTGTAGCTTACACCATAGAAAGATGTTTGTTCCAGCTGTGAGCAATTTCTGCTCTTGTAGATTAATCACCAACAATTGTATTAGTAGTATGATTGAGCTCTTGCATTGCTAGCTTAAAAGTGCAATAACAATAACCTTCATGGGACCCCCCCACACCCCATTCCAGTCATGTTCCATTCACATTGCTGAAGCTGTACAGGATGCAGTTCTTTTCTGTATGCATTGAACTATGCGAGTGAAATTTGATGTGAATGGACCATGGGCTGTGGTCATTATTAGACCACTGTTGACTATATTGATCTCTTTTTTTCTGTTTTTTTTCAGAAACGCGCTTTAGAAGGCACGCTATCAGAAACAGAAGCCCGATATGGAACCGAAATTGCACAACTCCAGAGTCTCATTTCCCAATTAGAAATTGACCTTCAGCAAGTGAGGTCGGACGCAGAGCACCAAAGCCATGAGTACAAAACACTGCTGAACATCAAGACAAGGCTCGAGCAGGAGATCGCCACCTACAGAAGACTACTGGAAGGAGAAGATGCCAGGTGGGGGGATCTTACTCATCAACGATATCAAATACCTTTATTTCCCATAAACTTTATGTATACATTCATACATCAGCATTACACAGTATAAAAAGTAACACAGGGAGCACATACATACACAAATCCATGTCTGATACCTTTTATATATACATAATAAATATATTTCACTTTAACACCAGGGTCGGATTTACTCTCTCTGCTGCCCCAAGGCCAGGTTCCTCAATGCGCCCCCCTATCCACCAACTCCACCATGGAGAATGGCAGACCTGCAGGCTGCATACAATTGATCTTAGCGACATCACCGAGATCACTTGTACAAGACAAGCGGTGGCTTCTCCGCTCTACATTTAGCTCTGCTTGCCCAAACCAGGCTAAATGTAGAAAACAACTACACTCCCGGGGCCCGGAACTGCATGTCCCGGGCATCGGGAGATAGGAATTCCACACCCCTGCTGCCCCTCTACTCCCTGCTGTCCCAAGGCCGGGCCTTGGTTGGCCTTGTGTGAAATCTGGCCCTGTTTAGAGCCCTTTGGCGTTTAAAGTCTGGCACTCTGGTGTCAGCAGTCAGTAGTGTGGGTGCATTGATTTGCACAGGTGCCTTTAATAACAGTAATCTCGTAACAGTTTCATGTGGCATGTCCTAGTCTCTGACTGTCTCCTACAGCATGACCTCCGTCTTCAACCAATCCTGTAGAACAATCTATGACTATTCACTGTTTCACTATTTGACCTGTTTACTGCCAGAATGACCATTGTTCTCTGTGTGGAAGTAGTGGTCTCTCTGCAGAGGTCTGACACCCCACCTTGTGTGTCAGAGCCAGAGCTCTCAAATCAGCAGGGATCATAGGTTTATCTTATTGCAGATCTATAGATCAGCAGGGGGTGTGTGTTGGACCTTTGTAGAGACATCACTGCTTCTACACAGAAAGCAAGAGGTCCTTCTCTTCAGCATGCTGGCACGTGCCTGATGCTATTTGAGCTCACAGTAATATTTGGCTTTAGATTAATAGCAGGAACAATGTGCCAAGTGGTTATTTGTTAGGTTTACAGAATTATATAGGGTTGATGTACACATGGTTTAGACCACATGTGTCAATCTCAAGGCCCAGGAGCCAAATCCGGCCTACCAGGCCATTTCCTAGACTTTTACTTTCAGATCTAGGTATTAAGTTATTCCTAAAACCAGTGATAATCGAATGCAGAGGCAATTATGATAAAGATTAGATACATTTATATAGTCTTACAGGCCCTTTGAGGGCAACCATAATCTTGATGCAGCCCACTACTAAATTGAGTTTGACACCCCTGGTTTAGACCTTTAGATGTAAATGTCAATATGATATATTCTTATATATTCAGAGCCACAGTATATTTAGTACCTTACATGATTTATACAAAGTAAGAACAAAAGCCGGTTCATTTGAATGTTAAATAATCTTTTCTTTCTCTCACCAGCTTTTCCGCAGTTCAGCGATCGGAATCATCAAACAAAAGTAAGTAATTGCGGCAAAGAGCCAATGGATTGTGTATAGGCAAGAAACAGCTGAAGTTTGCAGACATGTTTTTAATAAAGGTTAAAGTAATTGAGACATGGCAGTCAGGGAACCAGCAGCTTCTAATAGAAAAAGGCTCAATGACAGCAGCCCAGTATATCTGGCATGACAGGTTCACTTGACAAGGTTTCTATCATTAGACAAATTTACATTAGGTGATATCAGGATGGAATGATATCAATAAATCCTTGTCACAACTTAGAGTTCTATTTATAAACAATTAAGCAGAGCCATCATCCTGCGCATCTTTATGAACGTTCGTTCTGTGTGAAAAGAGACAAAAATGAATATTTTTAGTATATTTTCTTTTCTGGTTGAATGTTATGTATTGCAGTACCACATTGTGGCCACTAGATGTCGCTGAGGAGCGTAGGACAGAATTATTGGCCTTACTGGCCTTTCCGGAAAGAGAAAACTGTGATCATACATGTCCAATCACTATATCCCCTAACAAGTTTTAGCTGACTGTCTCCACTAGTACTCCATAGACATTAGATTGTCTCCTAGTCTGGCACCTTAATTCCAGTTGTCATAACTGATGTGACCATAACATTTTGGCTTGCTTCCTGTTTTGCATTGTGATGATTGTATTTCATATCCATAGTTGTAGGCACTCCCCTTAGCGGCTATGTATACATCAGGCAATGTGATCCTCCCTAATCATCCTTACTGAGCAATTCTAACATTAAGGACTAGTTCACACCAGCCCCAGTGCATTCCGGCCCGATTCTGGCAAGAACTGGATCGCAACCCGGCTGTCTCACTTTGTTTTGGGGCGGGAGGGGGCGTGGCGGTGCATTGAAGTCAATGGCACCGCAGTCACGCCCTCCGGCTGCAGTGCAATCGATCGCACCGGAACACGCGGCACATCAGTGCCTGCGTTCCTGTCAGGTGCGGTCAGAAAAAATAGTGCACGCAGCATTTTTTCCAACCTCACCAGACCAGGTCGCAGGCATTGATGTACCACTCATTCCGGTACAGTCGATCACACTGCGGCCAGACGGCGTGGCTGCAGTGCCATTGAACTCAATGCACCGCCACGCCCCCTCCAGCCCCAAAACAAAGTGAGCCGGCCGGGATGCACTAGGGCTGGTGTGAACTAGCCCTAAATCAATAATCCACATAGAAAGTGTATTGTTTTCAGATGGAGTAGACTGACAGCTTAAGTAAGCAGAAGGTCCACCATAAAAATATGTAGAAAGGTCAAATGAGAGCGTCAAATCAGGTGTTAAGAGTCCAGAATTTCATGGGCAATGCAATACTAAATGGCTGTCCAGTCTAGTTCAGTACAGTTCTGCTGTTAGCTGTTTGAGTCCTTCCATAGTCTTGCTTTCTTTAGACCCTAATGAAAGGGGATGTTTTTAGCCCCCCAAATGCATTGGCTGCATTTGGATTCTGGTTGTCATCAGACGGTCAATCTCTTTACTCCTATCACCTGATGTGGTGCTCTCATTTGACATAACCACATGTAGATTTCTCAATTCATGGAGGATCTCATTTTCATTAACAAACTATAAATAGGAAACATAGACTTCCATTAAATCAGCCATCTTCTGGGAACATATATGTAATCCTGTGAAAGGAGGAAGCGGTTTTCTGTGACCCCGTATATCTCATATATAGTGCGTTGTCTCAGCATGCTTATATGCCTCTAATGAAAAAACGTGTTTACTTAATTCTGTCATTTGTCAACTAGATGTAAAAATCATCAGCAAGGAAGAAGCCCAGAGTTCCAGCACAACACAGATAAAGGTGAAGACAGTGGTGGAGCAAGTAGTAGATGGGAAGGTGGTGTCTTCCTCCGTGAAAGAGGTGACTCAGAAAGCAAAGACCACCCCATAAAGGCATCGAAGAAACACCAGCGGATGTTACCTGCGGCAATGATGACTGAACTAGGATGGAAGATGAAAAATAAAAACTTTGATGCATTTGCTCTACAACCTGTTTATGTGTTTTTATTTTTTTAACATTAGATTGATTGTTCATATATGTAAAGTGGGGATGCACCGATACTAGTACCGGTATCGGTGCCGAGTATTTGCCCAAATGCTCCGATGCCTAGCCTGATACCTGGGCTTCCGGTATCAGGAAGTCGGGTCAGTGAGTCATTACACAATGCCCGGCTTCCTGATTGGCCGGGAAGCCGACTCCATGCTTCCTTGTCTGCATGGTCGGGATGCTGGCCAATCAGGAAGCCGGGCGGTGAGTCATTACCCGCCCCCTGGCTTTCTGATTGGCCAGAAAGCCGTCTTCATGCTCCCTCGTCACCTGGCCATCAGGAAGCCGGTGCCGTGTAATGACTCGTTGCCCTGCTTCCTGATTGGCCAGCTTCTCGACCAATCAGGAAACCGGGCAACAATTACACAGCCCCCGGCTTCCTGATTGGCCAGGAAACCGGCTCCATGCTTCCTCATCACCTGGTTCCTGGAAGCTTCCCGGCTAATCATGAAGTCAGTTGGCGAGTCTTCACACTCTGCCTGGCTTCCTTCATGCGACTTCCGGTATTGGTATTCGGTGTGTATGTAAACCTAAGAGCAAAAATGTGGTATATTGCAGCTTACCAGCCCTTAGATGTACATATCAGGGAACGTGCCGGCTTTCGGCCGGAGATGCCGGCTTTTCACTTACCAGTCCTTAGATGTACATATCAGGGAACTTGTCAGCTTACGGCCGGAGATGTTGGCTTTTCACTTACCAGTCCTTAGATGTACATATCAGGGAACTTGTCAGCTTACGGCCGGAGATGTTGGCTTTTCACTTACCAGTCCTTAGATGTACATATCAGGGAACTTGCCAGCTTACGGCCGGAGATGCCGGCTTTTCACTTACCAGTCCTTAGAATCTAAGGACTGGTAAGTGAAAAGCCGGTATCTCCGGCCGTAAGCTGGCAAGTTCCCTGATATGCACATGATCATAAGGCTTAGATTATCATGTGCATATCAGGGAACTTACAAGCTTTCGTCCGGAGATGCCGGCTTTTTACTTGTCCTTAGATGTACATATCAGGAAACTTGCCAGCTTTGGGACAGAGATGCCGGCTTTTCACTTACCAATCCTTAGATGTACATATCAGGGAACTTAACAGCTTTCAGACGGAGATGCCGGCTTTGTACTTACTAGTCCTTAGATGTACATATCAGGGAACTTACAGCAAGATAGACCTAGCTCCCCACCTGCATATTTGAATCCTTGACTGTTGGTCCATCCTCAGCTTTCTTGTGATCCTGCTACTACAAGCCCTCTTTTATTGGTTGTTTGTGAGTAAATTTTTGTTGTTTTTACATGTTAATAAAGTCATATTTACACTATGGAGGCGCTCCTTGTGCTTCTCTTCTGTTAGCTATCCCATTTCCCTGACTGTGAGGAGCTGCCTCGTATCTCTGAAGTCCTTCCTCTTCCTGCAAGGACAGTGGAAAGTTGGCGCTAGTGGTTGTTTTCTTTCATTACCCACTGGGGTGTGGACAGTCATAAGGGAACAAGATTGCTAATAAAAGCTATTTACAGTCAGTTCATTTACTTCATTTTTAATATCAAATGTACCAGAAGGCAAAAAGGACACATTTTCTCTAAAACTCTACAGTACAGAAACCTTATTTTAGTATCCATCCCAGGCTCCGGCTCCAGCCTCTGCCAAGGAGATAAAAGAGCCCCGTGGGTATTAGTTTGCCTTCTGCTGTCAATGGGATTCCTCTTGTACAGATAATTATGTTGCTCAACATAAATTACTCTTGACAAGGCTTTATGCTGCACTATAGCTGCTGGTTATATATCCTGTTCTACCAAATCTCGTCATTGCAGAACACTTCTTTGACCCGCTGTCTGATTTTTTTTTCTTTTTTCCGGTTATCTTCTTATTTTGGGGACAGTTCCCGAGAACTCCATCCAACTAGTCAGCACAAAAGATCTAATGTAATGGTTTCCAATATTTAGGGCTCGTTCACAACATATCCGGTGACCACTGTTTTTCTGCACTGCATCCATGTAGGACACCGCAAAAACCCATGGGCCCCTATGTGCCTCCAAAATGGAGCAGAGAGCTACGCAGTAAAGCGGTATGGAAAAAAGCAACAAGTCTGCATTTTTCCGCACTGCACCATAGCTCAAATGAAGTCACTGTCTGTCTCTACTTTGGCGCATAGAAATGAATGAAATGTCACTTTGTGACTTAGACCTCGTTCGGATGGGCTTGACACTCCACCGGCCTCTAAAAAGCGATACATGGTGGAGCAGTGGCTGCCCGGTGTTCAGAAAGTGATACTGTTGCCTCCAGTATGCAGGTTTGTTTTCCTAATGAAGTACTGCACTGCAACCATGCACTCATGCGGTTGCAGTGCACTCCCATTCATTTCAATTGTCGCATTTGACAAGTGGCACCGCCTGTAAAATGCTGTTGATTTTTTGCCCTGACACAAAGCATTGTGGCAGTGGCAATGTATGCAGTGTGGGCACAGTACTGACATTGCAGCAGCCGTCTGGGGGGTAAAACTACACAAAAACCGCGTGGTTTTACCACCCCCTCCCCATCTGTGTAACCATAGGGTTAAGAAAAAGGCAGAAATGATAAACTGTGCCTTGCATTAAGGGGTAGCCAAACTTCAGCCCTCCAGCTGCTGTGGAACTATAAGTCCCATAAGGCATTGCAAGACTCAGACAGCAACAGGTAGGACTTCCAGAGGCAAATAGGTGATGGGATTTGTAGCTCCACTCCAGTTGGAGGGGGTGGCTACCCCCTCCTTGGCTTAAAAACTGGGTGTTTGTTGGATACATTTGCAATGCGAATCCACACTACTGAACCATGGCACCTCCGCAGGGTGTGGTCCTAGGGTTGCCACCTGTCCAGGATTCACCCGGACAGTCCAGGTTTTGAATGCCCTGTCTGGGTTTATATGGCAGCAGAAACCCGGACACAAGATGTCAGGCAGACAGGGGCAACCAAAATTAACCTCTTGCCGTCCGCCATCTATGTGTTCCCCCGACTCTAAAGCTAGGTTCACACCTAACCGCTGGGGTGCGTTGTGTAATGTCTATTCAAAATTAATGGGCTGGTTAAGAGTGGGTCGCATAATTGGCAGCAGAACCAGCAAGTAAGTGGGTGTTGTTTGGGTGGGACCATCTGGAAAGTGACAGTGATCTGCGCCGGACTGCCCGGAAAGTGGATATACCAAGTGTGGGCCATGGGCACTGGCATGAAGATGTTGGTAGGTATGCTTGCTGACACTTCTGTGTTGTATAGCAGGTCCCCTGTTGGGCTCTGTGGTTCCTCCTGCCAACTGATGCACAGGGGCCAGTGGGAGGAAACCAAACACCCAGCGGGATACAGGCTTTCTGACACACCCGGAAGTGTCGGATAGCACCTGGAGCAGCTGTCCAAGACAGTGAAGATCTGGGCTTCTCTGCATTCCCAGGGATCTTGTCAGACTCTTTAATCCTGAAGCCGGGGAAAGCACTCTATATCTATTCACTTTTTCCCCCATACAGTTTGTTTATACTTTTATATTTTGCAGCATTAGTCGTTTAGAGGGGGAGCACAACAAATTAGTGAACCTTGTGTGTAGTGCAAGGTCTACTTTAAAGAATATCGTCATCAAATAGTTTGGTGCCACATTCTGGCAATTAACCCTCTATTTATCTCAAATGTCTTAACTTTTTTTTTTCTACATGTTTCGCCATAGCTTGTGGAGGAAAGCACACACACTCTTGGTGCTCATATAAATGCTAATGCCCACTGGCATTACCCATCAGCATTGCCCATCCGTATGTGGCACCAATCCATTTGATGAAGATTTCATATATAGTCTCCCACAGAGACTTAATTTCAATTCAAGGTCAGAAACATGTACTGTATATTAAGGTCTACTTAAGACACCAGTAGCCCAGACCAGAAGATCAGAGTTAATAAATCAGATTCCCAGACCAGATGTTAGACACCAGAAGCCCAGACCAGAAGTAAGACACCAGAAGCCCAGACCAGAAGACCAAAAGTAATAAATCAGAATCCCACACTAGAAGACGAGAGGCCAAGACCAGAAGACCAGATGTAAGACATCAGAATCCCAGACCAGAACACCAGATGTAAGATATCAGAATCCCAGACCAGAACACCAGATGTAAGACATCAGAAACCCAGACCAGAAGACCAGAAGTAAGACATCAGAAGCCCAGACCAGAAGACCAGATGTAAGACACCAGAAGCCCAGACCAGAAGACCAGACGTAAAACATCAGAAGCCCTGACCAGATGTAAGACATCAGAATCCCAGACCAGAAGACCAAAAGTAAGACATCAAAAGACCAGACCAGAAGACCAGATGTAAGACACCAGAAGCCCAGACCAGAAGACCAGATGTAAAACACCAGAAGCCCAGACCAGAAGCCCAGATGTAAAACACCAGAACCCCAGATGTAAGACACCAGAAGCCCAGACCAGAAGACCAGAAGTAAGACATCAGAAGCCCAGACCAGAAGACCAGATGTAAGACACCAGAAGCCCAGACCAGAGGACCAGATGTAAGACACCAGAAGCCCAGACCAGAGGACCAGATGTAAGACACCAGAAGCCAAGACCGGATCAGGAAAGTTGACTGACGGCAATGACTAAAGATGGTCATGTCCGTATTTTGGTCTGTTGATGGTCGGTAGTAGACCTGGCATGTATCAACTTCGGCAAGAGTCTGTCGGGAGAAGATCATTGTGAGTGGCTCTTTATTTTTGCGCCAGTGAATCAAACCCAAGCACATTCACCCTTTACTACTTTCCAGCATCTAGCCAACTATTAGTTTTGGATGCACTGACCTCAAAGCACCACTAGATGGCAGTAAGAGCACAGCAAATGGAAGCCGTGCATTAATGACATGTAT